TCTGTTGCTTTGGAGATAAATCTGTTTAGAGCAGCAACACATCCTGTCAGCCTTTGTACCTCCTTTGGTTTAGTGGGAGATCTCATATCCTGTAAGGCTTTTATCTCTTTTGGATTAGCCTCTATTCCCTGGTTACTAACCATGAAACCAAGGAATTTTCATGATCCAACTCCAAAGGTGCACTTCAAGGAATTTAGCTTCATGTGGTATCTCCTTAATACACCAAACATTTCTCCCAAATGGTCGATGTGTTGGGTGGCCCTAGTACTCTTTACAAGCATATCATCGACGTAGACCTCCATTGATTTCCTGAGTAGTTAGGCAAACATCTTATTCACGAGCCTTTGGTATGTTGCCCCTGCGTTTTTCAACTCAAAAAGCATTACCTTATAGCAATAGAGGCCTCTATCGGTGATGAATGATGTGTACTCCTCATCAGACGGATGCACGGGGATCTGATTATATCCAGAGTAGGCATCCATGAAGCATAACATCTCATGCCCTACTGTGGCATTGACCATCTAATTTATTCGAGGAAGCGGGAAACCATCTTTTGGGCAGGCTTTGTTGAGATCACTAAAGTCGACGCATGTTCTCCATTGTCCGTTAGGTTTGACCACCAAAACGGGGTTTGAGACCCATCGAGGATAATGGGCCTCCCTAATGAAGCCATTGTTGATCAACTTGTCGACCTCTTCTTTCAATGCCTCGTACCTCTCTGGGTTCATGGGTCGGCACTTTTGGTGTTTGGGGGGATATGAGGGGTCAACGTTTAGAGTATGGCATATGACTCCAGATTCGATCCCTTCCATATCAGCATGAGTCCAGGCAAAGACATCCAGGTTCCTTTTGAGGAAGCCCTCGACTTCAACCCTTTGTGATGGGGTCAAGTCCGAGCCTACTTTCAGCACCTTTATTGGCTCGTTCTTGTCGACTTGGATCTCCACCAGTTGCTCGACGGGTTAAGACCATGCGACCTCCTCTTGGACTTTGGGGTCTATGTCCTCGACGGCGCCGTGATTGATCATCCTGGCCTCCTGCTTCCCCAGCTGATCATATCCGCGCAAGGCATCAGAGTATGCAACCCTAGACTCGTACTGGTTGCTCTTCATTTCACCTACACCATTTGGAGTAGAGAATTTGACCTTCTGGTGGTAAATGGAGGTGATTGCTCTCAACGCCTAAAGTGACCCTTCCAATCACGGTGTTATACTGCAAACCTCCCTTTATTACCACAAAATTAGCCATTGTTGTGCCTTGCCGAGGCTTCTCTCCTGTAGTTATTGGCAGCCGGATTGTCCCCTGGGGGATGACGGAGTCCCCTGTGAACCCATATAATGGCCTGGAGGTTCTCTCCAAGGATTCCTTGGGGATCCTCATCTTTTCCAGGCTATCAGAGTATAAAAGGTCCACCGAGCTCCCGGAGTCCACCATGATTCGGCATACAGTATGATTTCCAATCACAGCCTCTACCACCAAGGCGTCGTTGTGGGAAAGTGGATCCCATTTACGTCTTCCTCGTTAAACGCTACGTCAACACTGCTGAACTTGGCTGTTTTGGCAGTCGAGACACTCCAAAATCTTTCCTGGTACACCCCTCTGGCTTCGTGGGCATACTCTTTTTGAGATCTTCGTGAGTCTCCTCCAATGTATGGACCATCGAGGGCCGTTCTTATTATGCCGACGGGTTCTCGTTCTTCTGGACGCCTTTGCTCCTCTCAGTGTCGATCATCATTTTGATCGCCGTGGCCATCATTTCTTGGCCTTCGTTCGGCCTTGAACTCCTGCAGTCTTCCCTCATGGATTACCCTCTTGATCTCATTTTTGAGATCAGCGCAATCGTTAGTGTGGTGGCCGACGTCGCCGTGGAACCTGTAGAATTTATTCTGGTTCCTTCGGATGGGATCCGACTTCATTGGTTCTTGTCAGTGCAGCAAGTTCCCTCGACCGACCTGGTTAAATACTTTCTCGACTCCTACTGTTAGCTAATGGTAAGAGTCGTACCTTTGGAACAGTCGAGGTTTACGGTTTTCTTCTTGCTTCAGCTTCTTGGGCTCAGGGGGGTTTGACGTCGAGGCTGTTTGCTTGTCTCTGTTTCCCCCGCCGTGTTGTTTCTTGTCTTGTTTTCCTGGCGTCGACCCTTGCTCTGAATTTTTATTCTTATTGGATTGATGATCAGGATCGTTGGCGTCAGCTTCCTCGGCATTAATGTATCCTTGCGCTCGCGCCAAGAATTCTTTATAAGTCGAAGGTGGCTTACGGTTTAGATCCAGCTTGAATAGACAGAGCCCCCATTAGAGCCCCCTATCAGTTATGTCTGTCGTAGCAGTGACGGCTTCCTCGTACCTTGCGAGCCATTCTTTTAATGATTCATTTGGCTTTTGATATATCGTCGTCAAGTTCTGCTTTGGCGGGACATACTTTTCTACTCCAATGAACTGGAGGGAGAGGCCTCCTTTAGTTCATCCCAACTTGAGATGGAGTTTGGTTTGAGCGTACGGAACCATCTTCGGGCTGAATTTTTCAGATGGTTCCGAAAGGCTCGGCACATGATTTCCTCAGCATATCCGTGCAGAAGCATGTGCCCTGTATACATTTCCAGGTGGTCGTCCAGATTCCCTCTGCCGTTATAAAGTGGGATCGACGGTGACCTGTATTTGTCTGGGAGAGGTGGTGCCATAATTTCAGCGGTGAATGGATGGTCGTGTGTCCGACTGGGAGTGATGTCGACGTTAACCACCTCTGCCACCTATCCTATGTTCTTTTTGAGACCGGCAATATCGCCTGTGAACTTCTGCTACAGGCTTGTCATGCGCTCCATGATAGACCGTGCCTCCTCAGTCAAAATTACAGAGTCGACGCCCCTTGAGGCTTCCACCCTCTGTCCGTTTGGCCCATGCCTTGCCTCGCCGCCCTCTCGCACCGACCCCGAATCTCCAAGAGATTCTCACTTAGGTTCTGGGATGGCGCTGCGGGGTCGGCAAGGCCTACTACCCTTTTCCCTTGGGCTCGGCGTCTGGCGGCCCTTTGACGACTGCCGAGGGATTGTGATGGTCGAGGCCTCGAATTACCTCTAATATTCTCACTATCCCCGATCCCTTTCGGGGCACCTCGGTGGTCACCATGATTTTGGTTCCCAACCATGGTAGCTCCCGGTGGTCTCGGGGTGTCTTCTAGAAGGGGCATCGAGTTTCTCCCATCTAATCGCTCGACTATGGTCATTAGCCCCCGCACCACATCGGCCAGGGTGGTAAGCTGGGCCTGCATATGCACTGGGTCGGGCTGTGGCGTATCCGGGGGTAGTGCTTCATTCCGAACCAAGGGTTGGTGCTCTCCGTCTCCGTCACGTGCCGGGTGCGCCGTGCTTTCCTCCATCTGGCTACCTTGGCTGATGGCGGTGTCTTTTCTTCTTGGAGGCATAGTCGCTGCCTATTTCCTCGTGGTTAGGGTTAAGTATCTTAACCAGAGGTTCTGGGTTCGTTCCCCAGTGGAGTCGCCAATTGTTGACGGTGAAATTTTGTCAATAGGATTACGCCGGGTCACCTTTAGGTATCCTGTCAGGTTACCGGCTAAAAAGCGTTTATTTGATATTGAAAATGATGTAGTAAAGCGTGTATGAAGTTTGTGGTAAATATAATGAGAGGACTGTGCTTGTGTGAGAATAAAGGCACAAGGTTTATAGTGGTTCACTCTATTAATGAAGAGCTACATCCACTTTTTTTTGTATTTCTTTTGGATTCTTTACAATGACTCTCCCTCTCTACTCCCGGGTTTAACATGAAATGAGCCAAACTAAAAGGAAAAATCCACCCCCTTTTTCGTTTGGGGCTTTGCCCCTTTTATAGCCAAGGGTTCCTTCGTGGGTGGTTTTTATCGTAGGCAGAAGCACTCGAGTGGCCTACCCTCATAGGCTCAGACCGTAGCCTACTAATCACTTTTTGAGCTATACACTCATCCAATTAGTCTTCCATTATGGCTCTGTAGACTCCCTGTAACCCTCCACCGTTCACTGTTGGGTGGTTTTGGGGCTTGTAATTAATGCCTGCACTGCAGACATCTCCCAGTGCCAGACGCAAGTTGGTTGTCAAACACCTTTATGGAGATACGGGCGTCGCCTCCCATGCTCTTCCCTCGACGTCTACGCTGAGTGGGCGGTGGCCTCTTCTGACCGCCGATCCTTCCGTGGCGTAGGGAATTTGCACAAGTCATAGGGTTGACGGCATAAGGGGTCGACGCCCTAAGGCGGGCTTTCTTCGTAGTGTAAAGGGGAAGTGAGCCTCGCTTTGTGAGGAGAAGTAGGGTCACGTGTAACGTTGTCGCTATCCCACGTGTCACCTGGATTTTCCCACACAAGATTATACATATTTTCTTATATACATTTTTAAATTACATATGTAACCTTTTTTTCCCAATTATATAATTCATATATAATTTAATTTTATGTTATGTTTGTATTTAATTTTATTATTAATTTTATGAGAATATTGAAAAAAGAGAGAAGCTACAAGAGATCAGGTCCAAAATATAGGCCAATATGCGAATCTATATAATCCAATCTACGGACTCAATTGCGGATTAGATTGGATTGGGTTGAGAATCTGTTAAATTGATAATAGATTGAGATTTTTTCAATCCGCATTAACGAATTAGATTACAGATTGACCCCTAATTTGTATAATCTGATCCGCGAACACTCCTACTGGCATCATTTTCCTTGTTGCCCTCTATGGATGCCGTTTTGAATAAGTTGTCGCTTCTCAATTTGTCTTTTGATTTAAATGTCCTTTTACGATTAACATATTCTTAATGGACTCGGCATGAGTTCCGTAGGGAATAAGCAGTTTGCTAGAAACAAGTTTGATGTCACGGGTAAGCTGGATATATTGAATAGTTAGTTGTTAAGTGATAGGAACTCCATCACCCTTAATGTAGAATAAAAAAATATGCTAAAATGCTTCATTTGTTAGGCTTAAGCCACAACTACTTTACTTTCTTTTTTTTTTTTTTTTTTTTTTTTTTTTTTTTTTTTTCAAATAACAAATACAATACAATAGAACATAGCTAGTTAACGATAGGTGCACAACACAATCTCTCGTGTATACCAGTTTGCTTTTCCATATCCACCAAAGTTACTGTCTAAGATTTATATCTATATCAATAAAGAACTTTCTTTATTGTCATACTTCAAAACAAATGACATGGATATTGACCAATGAACGTGAAGGCCTCTCAAAACAAGCTCATTTTTCTTCTATTGGGAAAAAAAGAATTGTGTAGAATTGGCTCAAATATATACACAGTTTACTATCTCGATTTTGCGCTAGAAAGCGAGGCAGAAGAAAAGCGGGTCAGAGCATGGAATACTTGACATCATACCGACTTCCATTTTAAAGAAGCTTGCTGGTTCTTCTTCTTGGTGGTCCTCCAGGAAAGAGCTTCATGATCCATCCCAATACTCGCTCAACCACCTAGTAGGAGAATATAGAGAGAAGATGAAAACTGTGTTCAACCATTGTAATTAAAAGCCTCTTATTTATTTAATTTTTTGCTAGAAGAAAAGCCCCTTTAATTCCAACAACTGAAAATATGCTCAGCTTGGTGCTTAGAAGATAGTAATCCAATTTCTGTTTGGTTATCATCATGAGAATTTCCAGTATGTTTTGAATTAGAATAAAGGGAACAAATGGTACCTCGTCGCCTTCATCTGCATATGGGATATTATCGCGTATATCATGGGAATCGGGTTGTCTTGCTGAAATATGCTCATTGGCCATACTTTGAGCGGTCAAAAGCTCTAATCTCTGAGTTTGAGCTTCAAGTTTCCGGGACAACTCGGTGTTCAACTCCTTCATTCATTAAACATAAACAAATGATATTGCCATTGTCCATGCCAAGATTCAGATATATGAACTAGACTAGTAAAAATAATTATGAACCACAAATATGGATATTTATACGACAATCTAAGTATGCTTCTCCTGTTTATCGCAGTGACAATATAAGCCAGAATGGCAACAGCTTAAAAAAAGAACATGGTTGCTAAATTCACTGTCATAAAAAGAAGATTCAGAACTTCATTACTTTCAATTTAGAACAATGAGATGACTTGGACGTCAAAGCTTGTATTAACTCCTGCTTCTCCAAAGCTAACTGCAAGGAGATATTTGAAGCTTTTTGTTAGGAACACTTGATTTATTTGAACAAATATTTGTATGACGTGTACTAGCTTTAATTGGAAGACTAAAATCTCTGACCAGAAAAATGACATAACTCCACAAGAGATTAAAAAGGACAGATGTACCTCTGATATTAAAGTATTAATATTCTGAATCATTCTCGATTGCTCAGGAGGTAGAATTGCAAATGAAGCTTCAGCAGTTGAATATCCATTCAACGGCAACATGGGAGAACTGGAGGCATCAGTTCCAACAACAGATGCATCGCTTGTTTCCTGACTTGAGGTGTCAGTAATGGTATCTTCATTTGCTGCATGAATTTAATTAGTAAACCCAAACCCAAAAATAATAAGAAAAAGGACAGTCCCGAGAATAATTTAGTACCTAAATCTTCTGTAGTAGTAGACATGTCTTTCTTGTTTGTAGAACTTTTTGTAAGATCAACAGACCTTCCACTCGTGGAAGCTTTCCACAACTTAGACTGCAACAGCTTCTTCTCTGCACCAAAATAACGTTAACAAAGAATAAATATTTCCAGCGTAAACACTACCAATCTGATTCACAAGCGAGTTATTTTCTCAAACTGGAACTTTCCTTGTTTTGTTTTTTTATTTTTTTTATTTTTTTATTTCATTACAAAATACATGGCTTCCGAAAAGATAAAATAACAGAGGCTAATCGCTATATGCAGTGTAATTAATAAATATGCTAACTTTTTTTCTTTAATTGTTATATGCTTGCAAGTTTTTCTTCTATTGTAAATATGCTTGGTAGTTGGTATTAAAAGTTTTTATGAAGAAGAGAGCGAGATGCTAGGGACCATCAAAAATTTCTAAAGCTCCAACTTTCTAGACCAGCCTTTTTACTCTCACACATTACTAAGTCAACCTACTCATTAAAGTAACAAAGAACTGCTGTCGTTTTTTTTTTTTTTTTGGCCAAGGGAAAAAAAACAATTTGCTACCTCTTTTTTTAGTACACGTGACATAAACACAATTACCTTCTTGAAGAGCATCAATAGTTGATTGCAAATCCAAGCGATCCTTCTCTAAGATAGACAGTTTCTTTCTGCAAGGTTACATATTCAATAGTTAACTCATGAATTAAGAATTCTTCATACACAACCAAACAAAACTACTACGTACTTGTATGAAGATATTTCAGCTTGTGAGTTCTCCAATTGCCTCTCAAGCTTTAGCTCATTGGATCTTAGTCTAAGTGCCTACATAAACAATAGATGAATGAAATCAGCTCAAAATACATATAAATACGAAAACATCCACTGCCACAGACGTATCATCAGTAACCAACATCTAAATGCATGTACAAAACACATTCAGCAAAAAAGTTTAAAAAAAAAAAAAAGTGTACCAAACACACTTATATTGAAAATTCCAAACACCATTGAAATGACAAAAAAAAAAAGGTGTACCAAACACACTTATATTGAAAATTCCAAACACCATTGAAATGACAAACACCAATAGCCTATAAATTAAGCATAAAGACATAACACTGTACTTGAAAGACTCATATGCACGCCACATCCAGAAAAACTAGTTGTGTTTCTAAATAGCATTGGCAACATAATTTGCCAATCCCTCTCAAGACTTTATCAAGAACAAAAACAATCCCACTCCCTCATGGAATTCAAAACAGAAATGAAATGCTCATTTGAACAATCAGAAAAATGGGGCACAAAGGAAGAAAGAAATTGAATACCAAATGAAAGCACTACCTTCTCCTCTAAACTGATAACTTCTGAAGCCAATAATTTAGCACGTTCATCAGCTGCATTGCATTCCAGCTGTGCATTTCCATATTCATTTCTGACAGCCTCAAGTTCCGCCTGTGATATTAACAGTTACAAGGTAGCAATTAAAAAAATAAAACAAAAATCTTGTAAAAAAAGAGCACGAGAGGAAGAGGAAGGGGGGCTGGGGTATGGTAGACAGACAGAGAACAAATAGTAGAACAAAAAGGTGAAGGATAGGTAAAAGTATTCTAGAGATGGCATCTTTGACCATACACGTGGCTTCACAAATAAACACACACACACACACGAGACATCCAATAGAATGTAATTAGCTCAAGATGAAAATCCAATAGAATTGAGCCTCAGCAGTGGCGAAGAGAAAATTATACAAACCAATTGAGCCTTGATTTCCTCCTGTAACTTTTCCATGTCAGATTTTAGTTGATCAACAACACCTCTCTGGGAAGAGAAAAACATGAGTACAGTTAGAAGAAATGTAGCAATACCAATGAAATGTGGTGTTATCATGTATATTTTGAAGAGTTCGAAAATAATTGATCTGTCACAGACACAGTTAACTTCTTACTAAAACATGGTCACAAAGCCTGACATAGAGCAAAACTCCAGGTGCAACTTAAGAGATAGTTAATAAATCATGTTCAAAGTTGTATCATATATGGTTAGAATTAATAAATTTAGGCACCAAAAAACTGAAAAAGAGTGAGAATGGTTATGATTTGCATGAAAAAAGAATACCAGTGATACAAGTTGATCACTTAGAATTTACTTATGTGAACTTTTAGTAATGAAGCTTATCAGAGTCTTCTTCATAAGGTATAGAAAAGCTGAAATCTGTGGCACTGCCCACATGTATGACATAACAATTTACTTCACATGCAACCTTTGTTAGTTAACTGAAGAAAAGAGTTAAACAAACCTTGGATAACAATGGCATAAATGCATCAATGAGATAAAAATTTTCCTATAACTAGTAGTCATATCAAGTATGAAGCAATAAATAAAAAATAAATAAGGGTAGAAAGACGATGTGCCTTTTGCCATTTTGTTTTCATGAACACTTTAGTTCAATAAAGAGAAAATTACATTCGTTACATAGGATTCTATAGCAAAGAGCAAAAATATATAAACTAACCTGTTGATTATAACTGTCTGTAAGAGATGAATTTTCAGCAGCTAATGACTCTGCCAAAGAACGAGAAGCTTCAAGTGCACGTTGCAAAGAGAATTTTTCTTGCGTCAAATCTTCAATATGCTGGGTAAAATAAAACACAATAAATAAACAATCAAAATAAATGACCATGATGCAAAAAGCTCAAAGAAGAGATATCTATGCTTCCTAGTAATATTTCAACTAATCTCCACCCTAAGCCAAAGAAACCAACAGCTCAAAATTCCTCATTAAAAAAACAGCTGCTTAAATGTTAGTCAGATGGCACGGACTAACTCATGAGTCATGAGTTCAACCAATTTTTCTGGATGAATATTACACCTTCACGAAACATAGTTGAATGATCAGGCACAAAGTCCCAACATATTTATCCCTCAATAAGCTTAGGTTTGAATGCCTTGGAAACAATACGCATCTCCACAATCTCTAGGGGTATTTTCTTCAGTAAAGGAATGAATCATAAGTAGAACAGAAACCAGAAAATACAAAATCACTGAGTATTCCATGGAAAACCACAGAACTAGATTCGTAAAACGCAAAAGAAGAGAATAGGGTTACCTGTTCCAGTGCAGCAAAGTCTTCATTCTGCTTAGGTAAGTAGAATTCATGTTTCCACTCCATGCCATTTTCATTTACAGACAGTTTGGGCTGGTCACCCGCTATACTATCAGAAACTGAATTTATTGAAGGGTCAAATGCTTGTGACGTACTTGAGTTGATCTTTGAAAAGGGCCCTAAACTTCCAGCGTCCACAGATGGCTTGTGAAAAGGGGATGGTCCAAGAAAATCTACGCTCTTCGGTTTTAAACTGTTGGACTTAAATGAATCCTTCCCAAATTCATCTTTTTTGAAATGAGATCCTGAAGATGCTTTATGAATATTAAGATTATCAAGAAAAGATGGCCGAGAACTTCTAGAATTCGTTTCATTTGTGAGTGGATATAGTGGTACATGATTTGGGGAGCTTCTGAAATTAGATTCAAAACCCATAGATCCAATTGTTTGGATAGCTCCATTTTCCATACTGAACAGACCACTAGCAGAGCCACTTATATTTTCTTTGCCCGTCTTGAAAGACATAAGATCGCTGAAGTTCACATTGTTCTGCATATCATCATCGGCAATGCCTCTTCTGTTTGCAGTTGGTCGAATTATGTCTACCATGAAATCCAAAATACTTAACTTAGTATCTTCCTTCACAAAGTAGATATCAGAAAAACAGTAAACAGTTGCAAAAATAATTAAATAAGTAAATATGTGAAAACACTGGAAAATGAAATCAAATCCCAAAGTGAAAAAAATAAAATAACCTTCATAAAGTGAAGACGATTTAGAGCCGCTGGCACTACTAGGCTCACTTTGCAAAGCGCTGCTAATGGAATTCTGAGATGAGATCCGTACAACAGAAACTTGAGAACTAGCATCTGCAATTGTATAATCCTTTGATGGAGTTTTTTCTTCTTTCAACTGGGGTTCATCTATCCTGTGTAAACTAAGTCGATTAATACTGCTATCAAAATCTTTACTTCCTCTTGAGCGTAAAGCAAAAAACTGTTCAGATGCAGTCCCATATGGAAGTCTACCCAAGTCTCCTGTATAATTTTCTGCATCATTGCTCTTCCCTTTCTCCCCATGGCTTTGATAAACATCTAAAGGTCCACCAGACCCTAAATCGCCATCTTTCTTAAATTCGTGACCATTTGCATGCTTTTGTGTTTGATCTGAAGAAAATGAATTATACTCATTTGATGAAAAAATACTAGTTGGCCTATCACTTGACAAAACTGATTCACTTTTCTGGATGGCATCAATTGGATTGCTGTCATTGTTTATTTCTAAAGATGAAGATTCAGTAACAGCATTTCCAAGTAGATCAGATGTACCAGCTCCATTTGTATCTGTAACTCGCGCGTGTTCAGTTTCTAAAGGTTGTTTCTCATTCGAATTGACTTCAGAGGCATGAATCTGGCTGGTTGACGAAGCCTTCTTGGAACGATCTGCTGCTTTTTTCTTACGGAATTCTTCTAGCTTCAAAAAATAGGAAAAAACAGGTATAAATTCTAAGACAAACAAGGAAAAACCATCAAGAAACAATCTGTTCAAGAATCGACCATTGTAAAGAATTGACGGAAGAAAATTAGTTAACAATGAAATTTTTGCAAGGAAATCTATTTTTGAAAGAACATGCATTCTTTAAAAGCTTCATAGTTTATATATCAAATGGAGATACAAACATTTTCCTATGTCATGAATCACAACTCAAGTAATTAGATTGTCAACCTACGAGTTAGACTGGATTTTGAAGGTTACCAAACAACAGAACAGCCCAGAAAAATTGACTAAACAATTGGGTTTTCGCCGGCAGCAGTCGATTATGGATTTCAATCCATACAAGTGAAAGTCGACTGCTTAGGTGTGGGTTCGGTTTTATGTGTTGGGTCTCGAATATTGGCATCCCAGAATTTTACCTAGCATTGTTCAGGTATACGGGTACGAATGAAGATTGACCGAGCTATGGAGATATTGATATTGATCATTCTATAACTCCTCCTGACTCCCTTTCTTGTTGAAAGAGAAGGTTTATCATTGTTCATAACATTGAATTATAAAAATTTTCCTGCCTTTTGTACTTTCTCTTCTTCTGTTAACCATGAGGAAAAAGGAAAAAAGGGCATCCCAGAAAAACTTAAAAATCAAGTTCCAAAAGCTAGCAGTTCTTAAGATCAACATCAATACCACTAGTCTCAAACCCAAATAAAAAAAAAAAATAACAATTGGAACTTGGAAGCACCTTCAAAGCAACCACATATCAGCCATCCTAGTCTGTTTCTATCATTTGAACAATAACGAGTATCATAAAAGAAAAATCCACTCCATTACTCAATAGTAGACATACAAGGCGTCGGGTTAATAAAACATGACTAGGACAGAATTCAAGCAACAAGTAACATCAAACAATCAAACCGCACTCAAATATGACAGCAGAAGATAGTAGATCTTTCAGCATGGAGATTCAAAATGTTCTTCCCTATAACCAATTTGACAAGAGATTTAACAGAAATACCTGCTCAACAAACTGAGTTTTCGTCCCAAATTATTGCCTAATTCAGCTTCCGAATTCCAAAATAGCAACCATAAAAATTCGGTAAAGCGCTAAACATCTCGTGAATGACAGAATTGAAACTAAAATGAACACCATTTCCATTAAGCATGAATTTTACACGAAACACAAGAATGGAACAGAATCCATACCCGGCGCTTTCCAGCTTCCAAATGCTCTTGCTTCCTCGAAGAAGCCACAGTGTTCGGAAGCACCTGAGCCGAAGCCATCGAAACACACAACGAACAATCGGAAGCTCAAAAGAATTCAACAAACAATTGACCATAAAAAACCTCCAAATCCTCTCCACAATTCCCAATCAAATCCGAAAAGAAGCACGCAACGCTTAATTCCAACGAAAAGCCCTAGCTAGAAAACCCCAGAAGAGGACGGAAAATTCTGGATCAAAGAGATTCCGGAAATGGCGACGTAATTCGACGATCAACGGTCGGATAATTCGAAACGGTAAAATGAAATTTTATATAAATATATTAAAATTAAATTCTGAAAATTTCGTACAGACAAAGAGTCCGATCAGATCGGAGAGAAGGAGAGGAGTGGGATTGTGATTTTTTTTTTTTTTTTTGTTCGAGCAGATCTCCTGGCCCGGGTTTCCTCTCTCTCTCTCTTTCTGTTGTTCTTTGCGTTTTTGTTTTTCAATTTTATTTGCTTTTGCATTTCAATATTATTATTATTATTATTGCTGCTGTTGTTGTTATTGTTATTATTATTTACTTTTTCAAATTTGGCGTGGCTGATAATATTACCTGCCGTTATGTTTAAGTGACGTATGTGGGATCTACGGGGCAGGCAAGCATATATATATTTCTAAAAAGATAAATAATAGGACCTTTTCTGGTGTTTATTCTTTTTTGAGAATATCGTTGTTTATTAGTTGATAAATTTATATTAAATTTGATTAAAAATTAATTAAATTAAAAAAATTATAAATTTGACTATTATAAGTAATGAATACTGATATTTTTAAAGGAGAGATAACATTAGAGAAATTTTTTAAATAATATTTTGTTCTTTTTTTTTAAAGAAAATTACATATTCTACATTTATAAATACGTGACTACCTTATTAAAAATATTCATTTTAAAAAATTTTATCGCTTAACTAGTTTTAATTTAAAAAATATAAATATATAAGCTAATATTAAAAGGTAGAAATAAAATTGACTCTATTTCAAAGAATATTTATAAAAATTGTCCTTTTTCTTAAAATTAATTATTTGTTTAGGCATTTGATTTGTCGTGGGCCCATTTGTTATATGGGTGCAAATTAAAATTCTTGATTATGATTTTTAAAATTAAAATTTTTTATGCGAGAAAAAGACCGTAACATACCAAAACAATGAGTTTTTACTGTAACAGAACCATATATCAAACATTACTTAAAGAGTATTTCACTAGTTTTGTCTTTTTCTCTAAAAGTATTTCACTAGTTTGTTGGCGTTCTGGTAACTAACAATAACATTAATCTACCTATTCATAAAAAAGAAAAAAAAACCCCTAAAAATTTGGTTGGCAATTGAAAACTGGGTGTTTAAGGTCTCATTAAGTTTGCAGATTCGAGTTTTTAATTCAAGTTGATATATGATTTTATTTAAAAACTTTTAACTGTTGAAGAAAATATTAAATGTGACTTTTTATAAGTATTTTTAACTGTAACAAAACTGAAATTGAAAACTCGAATTAATATTCTTTTAATGAAATTGTTAATACATCTAATAGGGGGAAAAAATTATACCATGAGACTTGAATCGAGAACTCAAAACATCAAAAATAACTCACAATCTTATTAAACGTTCAATAAAAGAAATGGCAATTCACCTGATACACAATTTGTAAAAGAACACACACACAGCTATGTCAAGACGTGGCAAGGGTCATTGTAAAAGTAGTTGGGGAATTTTGGCGTGAGGGTCATTTTGACGTGGTGGAGGTTACAGAGTGCAAGATCTCTAGTCTCTAGTACTTTTAATATTAGCACGTGATACTCATAGGTGAAATATCTACGATATTATCACATTTTTATGATATTATTCATATTTTAAAGTCTCGACATAAATAATCGGAGAGGAAAATATTCTTTCTGGCATTCTATAAAATATTTACAATGTCTAAAAATATTCATAAAATTCGTGAATAACTGTAAATATTGAGGATATTTTTAAAAATGTCCACAAAATGTCCAAAATACCGGAAATTATTTTTGCACAAAAATCAATTTTGTAGCACCTTTTTTTCCTTATTTTTTTTAAATAAAAAGTGACAACATGATTCAAATCAAAAGCAATTAAAAATATTAAGACTTAATTAGTTTTTAAAATAATTTTTACTTTTTAAATGAATGAATCCTATTCAAATACATTTGAGTTCATTCACCAGGAAAGAAGATTTTACTCGTGCTACACAAGACGAAGATCATGAATGTAGTGCAACAAGTCCTCGTAGGAAAATAATTTATAAGAATATGTGGTGTGACTCAAATGTGTCAAATTGATGAGGATCATGTGGCATTGAGTTTTGATTCCATGAGCTTAGGAACTAAACAAAGTTTATATGGTTAAAATCATCCATATAGTTCTCACATGAGATCTACTTCAAAAGTACAAAATTAAGATGGTTAATTTGTTTAATATCTTAGTGTATTCCACCACAGGACAGTGTTGAAATGTCATTATACATCCTTAAAGACTATTCGTCAAGTTGGATAAACTCACAGTATCCAATTTATGAGGTTAACAATGGGAAGAAATCAAGAAACATATATATGGCACATCAACAACTACCTTCAGATTTTAAGGGTAATATCTTGGTAAATTTGTTGTTTAGATCAAGATCATATTCTACCTAATGCTTTTCATCATGCTAGAAACTCGTTTTGGTATTAAAAGCACTCTTGTCACACCCCAAAATATGGATTCGTGACGTGGATGTTTGTTTAGAAATTAAATCGGATTAAGAAAAATAATTAAACATTTAATAATGCTAAAATTAATTTCAAAGATAAAATATTTAAGAATTTCCAAACAAACCCCACAATTTAGAAGCAATTAAGTGTCAAGAAGAGTGATGTGGATTTCACATTAGGATTCCTCACAGGAAAATCCGTATTGTAGTATCATAAACAAAGCAAGGAAATGAATATAGACATCAACCACAGTCCAGGAGTATTTAAGGTTACAAACCAAAAATTATACACGCCTTAGAGATGTATAGCAACTATAGAAGTAATTACAACTTCTTTACTTGATCCGCATAAGCTAGCATTACCGGTAGTCGCTATCTACTTGGCACTACTTCTAGCGTCGCCTGAGAGGGGTTTAAAATATTGAAAACAAGATAAACAGTGAGCGAAAGACCCAGTATGATATAATTTCATAAAATTTTATTAATTAAAAGAGTACACGGTCTGAACATATCATCCGGAACCAAACATCCTTTAATAAAAGGAAATAATCCATAAATTCAAGTTTCATGTGCTAATACACAATTTATACGAATATGATAAATTACTCACATTATTGCAAAGCCATAATATCACCACCCACGCTATGGAGTGGCCCATACGAGTTTCGGGGCCTGCCTCAAAGGATATGATTTGCATATCCCAATCTCTAGGCCATCATGTATTTTACCAGCTCTTAAAATATCTAATTTTAAGAAAATATTACTTTAAATTCTTCTTTAAATCTTAGTAATGTCAAACACATTTTATCTTTAAAACGTTTCCACAAGCCAAAGACATTTTAAACAAGGCTATCAAAGATATGAATAAGAATATCCTACCTCTTGAATATCAATTAGCTTCTCGTCGTCCTAGCCTCACTTATCTTTGAAGCTCAATATCCAATCCCACCACTAGCTTAGCTATCAAAATAATGTTTTAGAGTTTATACCTCACCTCTAAAATAAATCTAGCTTAATTATGTATAATTGTATCATATAAGTGTGCCTTGACTCAAAACTAAAGTTTATAAACAACTTCATAATTCAAGTTGTGGTTCTTTGAGAATTGAAACTCAAACAAGAAAAATAGAATAAAACAAGGATTAGTGTGGCTAATCCACTTACTTTGAGTTTCCAAATGAAGTTAATTTAGCTTCCCATTGAAATTTGGGGTCAAAACAAGTTTTAAAAGCATTTTGGGGTAAAATACGTACAAACCGGTCGACCGGTGGCAGATGAATACAAATCCACTAGCTGGCTGGTGTGTGAAGTCCGAGGCAGTTAGCCGGTGGGTGTTTTACAAGCCTGAAAAACTGGCCGAAACAGCGAGAGACAATACCAAAACTTGTATTTTTGAGTTTGATTTCAAGATAAATCCATGAGAAATCACTAAAACTAGTTTCTAAACATTTCAACAAGTTCAAAGAACCAAAACCCCCAAATTTAAACATGAAATCAACTACAGTTCATCTCAAAACCAAGTTTAAACCAAGAATTCCTCAAACCAAACCAAGATGAAGTTTCACCAAAACAAAATCCGAAATTCAAGAGTAGATTTCTCAAAGAATTTACCTCAATCTTTCCTTTGGGGAAGAAAACTTCTTAGAAATCCTCTTTGGTTCAACTCTAATCCAAACTTCCTTAGAGAAAGTGACAAATTTGAGAGAAAGAGAGAAGGAGAGAGAGTGAGGGAGAGTGAGTGACGAGAGAGAGAAGAGAGATGTGAGAGAGAAAAATAGTTTAAGTGAGGGACAAAAGGAGATATGAGGGAGAGAGAGAAAAGTATAGGGAAGAAAGAATAATAAAGAAAAGAAATAGATAAGTATCAAGAGATAATTTAAAGAAAAGGAAGGAGAAATGTATTCTCATATACTTCTGAGGTGAAATTGTAAATACTGAAAATAATTAAAATTACTTAGAAATATTTAAAACTTAAAGATAAGAAAATATTTAATAAGTATGATTAATGAAGAAAATCAAATTAGGCACACTAATATATCACAATTTACATAATTAAATTGTCTTAATTCTTCTGGTTGTTACAGCTCTATTATGTTTAGTAGTTAATTTTTCAGGTAATATATTAAATTATTTTGCCTTGTTTGTATTAAGTATGTAAAATTATATTTAAATCGCTCTATGTATAATTATGATAATTTTTTACTATACTATTTGGCATAAATCTAATTTTTTTTTTACCAAAATGTATTATCTTTGTTATTAAATTAGTCAAAATTAAATAATATTAATTGTTTTTAACATTTTTTTATAGTTTCAATAAAAAATGTTAAGGTTTTCTCAAGGTATTCATTTTTTTTTTTCAAAATATCCGTCGACATCGATATTTCTGTCGATATTATCCATAAATCAAAACCTCGACAACCCCATCGACATCGATATGTTTATCTATGGTGATACTTTGACTATATCGTTATTGACCTTTAGAATCTGCCTTTAGCACAATTGGAAGGATAATTGATGAAAGCAGAACCTCGTTGACTCCAGAAATGATTGAGGTGCTAATATCTCTATAAGATTAGGAAATGCTTTTTTGCGAATATAACACACACTGAGGACAAAGATTTAATGGACCAATTTCATAATTTATATATTGACGGTGATGCTTTCAAGGTTAGAAATAGTGCAAGAGGCGGTTAGATTTTTTTTTTTTGGAATAACTATGTTTTTTATTTTTTTAACTATATGTAAATTGTAAATTATGAAAATAATACTACTCTTTTTTCTTTACCTTTACCGGGTTTTATCCATTTTTCTTGATAAGGTTTTAATGAATCAATTATAATTACATAAATAAAACTTTATTCCATTAGAATTTGAGCATAGTCACTATCTATTATGCATTTATTTTACATATAACCTACTAAGGCCTAAATGCTAACTTGTTGTCTTGCTTTGCCGCTGGTTAGCAGTGAATTTTTTTTTAAGTCATACAGGTCGGGCCAGTGCCAGGTTTAGTGGGCTTTAGGGCCGAGCTATGCTTATATATGCTTATTTAGAGATGATTGGTCCGGCCCGTACATCCCTTTCGGACCGCCGGACTGAGCCATGCGACTAGAACTTTCAGCACTAAGTAAGGGTTATTGTAAAAGTAGTTATTTGTTTTTCTTTTCTTTTCTGTCCCCTTATGCATACTCCTTGATGAATAAGAAACTTCAATAACTTTTTTTTTTTTTTTTAATTTTTAAATAGGTTTAGTGATATGGTGATAGCAAGATAGCAAGCAGTAGAAGTCATGAGAGGTGAAAGTTAAGGTCGGTTAGTAAAAGAAAGAAGGAAGGCCTAGCCTGGTGTGGTTTTAAAGCCCGACGGATTGAGATCATGCCAGGCTAGCCCGAGCATTTTAAGGGTAATTTATTTTTAAAAATAAAATATAATAAAAAAAATTAATGTCGGATATCGGCCTAGCACAAACACTAAAAGCAAGCTAAGCCGGGCAAGACCAATAGTGACGGACTTCGAACCAACCTGTTGAGTCTGACTAAAATTTACAACTCCAGAAGCAACCAGCATGGAAATGTGTTGAAGTAGATAATGCATCTGTGAATGAGGTGCTGAATTATATGGGGGTAGGGATGGTTATACGGGATGAATTTGGCTTAGTTACAGAAGCGATGGCATGAGATCTGTGAACATTTCTCACCTCATGTAGGCGAGCACGTAGCACCAGCAGTTAGGGAAGGAGCTTGGTTTGCTGGTTCATGTGGTTTTGATTGTTGGAATGTTCAGGCAGATGCGCTAAATGTGAACAGAGTTGTTCGGAGTCTCGGCTTTTGGATTCTAATGTTATTGAAGACATTTGTGATGCTATTTCTCCACCCAAAAGTGGCAATAATTTGCTATATATATATATATATATATCTCTCGTACTGGGAATGATATAGCCCACTGATTAACTATTTATGCTATGTCTAATTCTAATAACTTTAGATGGTTTGTTTTTTGTGTCAAAATTTATTAGCTCCTCTGTTAAAGCGGATATTTTACTAATTGAAAGCAATTTTAATAACTTTCAATGTTAGTGATATCATATTTAAAAGTTAATTGTGAACAAACATTACAACACTTTGATTAGCTAATGGTATATGATTAACAAGAAACTCAATTCTAATAATTCATTGAAGTCAATTGATTTTGGTAACATATTTCCCAATCGACTTGCCGCGAATTAACTTCCGAGTTTGTATTTTGTTCTTCACATAAAATATTATCAAAACAAAAAAGGTCCTTCACTTTTATCCCATCAAATATGATCAAAAAGTACTACTGACTACAGATTGTTTTTAATCGATTAAAAATTACCATTTAAAATTGTGAGGTCATGCATTAGAACTAATATGTGAATTCAAAATTACTCTAATGTATATAGTAATAGTCACTAGAAATATGAATAGAGCTATTAAATATTACAAGCACTGTTTATATACAAAGTAGGATCAAAGTCGTGTCTTTTCAAACTAAAGCCCCACACTATCTTAATTCAAACAAGGCAACAACATGAGTCTATATATTAAGGATTGGTCGACATGACCATCTCTCTTACGGATTTCAAATGAGCCAACAATCTCTGCCGGTCAGGAAGGTTTCCGTTAATAACAGGAACTTGCTTGAAATTCTGAACCCAAGCATACAAACGAGGCAAAGTAGTGGGTTGAATCAATTTCACTCCCACCAATTCCTCTATGCATTCCATCCAATGAGCTATCCATCCATGTGCTATGTCTACCATGTTTATGGTCTCTCCCCCAAAGAACTTGTTGTTCCCAAGGGCTTGCTCTTCCAAGATTTTCATCACTTCTAGTGCTTCTTTCGCTGCCTTTTCTCCCTCTTCTCCACCGGCAGTGCTGGTAAAGAATGAACCACAAACGGGATCCACCTGTAAGAGTGAGTTATGTCAAATGACCAAGGAAAATTGTCAAGCTTTAGGGGGGAAAAAAAAAAAAAAAGCAAGGCATAATTTTGAAACATGAAGAATTATGATGTACCATGCAGTCTAAATTTCACCAATAAATAATAGAAAGAAAAATATCAGCCGTTGAAAGGAAAATTGTCAAGCTTTAGGGGGGGGGGGAAAAAAAAAAAACAACGGATCAGATTGAATATTTCATCATCCAACAATTGAAATTGAGCTGCAAAGGGTATCTCTCAACAAAACGGGAAGTAGTGTAACTTCTTCCTAATTTTTTGTTAATATTATCATCTAGAACGCTTGGTACTCCAGAAAGGAAGAGTACTATAAAAGCAAACAAAAATTTCTTCTCGATCCCTTGTTGTTTGTTTCGTTTGGCTTCTAAAGTTATTGTAAGTTATGGGAATAGTAGATCTCATCCCTTAAAAACTCTTGAATTACAGAAAAAGTTAGTTGGCTTAAAAAAGAAAAAAAAAAAAACAATAGGCCTCCTTATATGTGCCTTCTAGATCTCCTAAACTATGTATAGTGAAAATTAAAACAAGACTCAAGCACACATCTCAAAAACAAGTTACTGGGCTCATCATGGAAATTAAACATAACTTCATGCTGTTTTGGAATGACACAACTTAGCAAATTTTGTGGACAAATTACCATCCTAATAATTTATGCTAGTTGTTTCTTTTCTTTATGTGATCAGTCATGTACCCTAAAGGACTTTTCTAATCACCAACAAATTATTAACTTTTAATTTACCTTACATATGATGAAAAAATTTGAAAAGAAAATACCAAATAATGAAACAGATTTGGGAGGTGAAACAACCTTTTCTGCTCCAAATTTGATCCAAAATCTAGCCAAGGCTCTTTCAAAAGCATCTTTTGGCAATAATGGATTATGTGGCCATGTTTCTTCAATGTATTCAAGGATGACAAAGGACTCAGCAATGGGTTTGCCTCGATGAACAATAACAGGAATCTTCTTGTAAACTGGATTGTACTCCAAAAGCAATTGACTCTTGTTGGAAATATCTTCTTCTATGTAATCATAATCCACACCCTTGAGTTTCAGAGCCCATATGACTCTGTGACTATATGGGCTTGGCCAGAATCCTAGTAGCTTTACTTCTTCCATTGTTAGACATAAAAGGTTCAACACGAAGCTAGAGGCTACAGTCTAATAGCAATTAATGTTAAGAGGCGTCGCTGACTTTTCTTTTCTATGATTATGTAATGTCTTTTGAAATACTTTTTTTAAAGGATAAATTCCCAGTGATTTAAATATGACGACTTAGACTATTTAAATACTGCTAAATGGAAAGATAGATCAGGTTCTCCCACTGTCTAACCAGCGGTCTCAATAAATTTCTCTCAAGGCGTCCAGTGAGGCGTGAGAATATCACTGATCATCTTTTTTAATTAACAAAAAAAAACTAGTTTAGTCTATAGTTGCTTCTTTGGTTAACTATAGCAACTATAGATAACTATGTAATAGATATAAAAAGGTATTCAATTTAAAAAAATTAGTTTTTAATTATCGAATTTTCATCAAATTTAGATAAGTTGTACTTTTGTTCGAAATACTTTTAAAGGGAATACTTTAGTTGATAAGTACTTCTTTAAAGAAATATGTGCTAAAATATTCCTTGTAATTATTATATGATTTAACGATTTAAAACTGTGTTCTATCAACAAATTTTATTTATAACTTATCACAAAATTTTTCTATTTTTTGGTGAGTTTACCAAAGCGTAATAGAATATAATGCAAAAGATAATAACATTGACAAGAAAAGTAAAGTAATAGAATTAAAAATCATTGATTCTTATAAGTGTGTTCGACTATCAGATGGTGCAATATGAAACAACCTCATTTCTTTTCTTTTTTTGTTTACTAAAATTAAGAATAACAATGTTATGAATATAATCGCTAAATGTCTTTTTACACAATTAAATAATCATTGACTATATAATAATTTATTAATGGTAGATAAATAAATTTAACATATATTTTCTTTGATAAGAAATTAATACTAAGAATTCTTTTTTCTTATACTTTATATTGTGTGGGGCTCATTAAATCTGTAATACTGTTATTAAACACTTTACTTAATAAAAAAATGAATCACTCTTCACTTTTTTTTTTTTTTCTCTTGATACAAAGTAAACATACTCTTAATGCATTGGTCCAACTCCAAAAAGAACTAAAATGAAAAAATAGAAAACGTGTAGTCATTTTTTTTTTTAATCCTATCCCACGCTACGTATAGTGCAAACACATGGGTCCACGACTTTTGAAAAATATACAAAAGTGCAAAAAGTCCTAATCTGCTTAGGCGTTCACTGGATAGTTTCTTAGAAGGGCAAATGGCTTGATTGTTCAATAGTCAAATAAGAAAAGACAAAATTCAAGTAAAAACAATGGGAGAAGAAAAAAGGAGGACAAAAACCTACCATTTTAAACCAACAATTCTCAATTTCTGAAAGCATTGCAAATAACATATTGGACAGGAAACTCTTAAACTAGCTTTCCGGGCTTGCATTTACCTCAAATTACGGTGGTTATCATATTGCTTGTTGCTATGATTTATATCTTGCATATTTACTTTATGATACGATTTGTTATATGTGTGATAACATGCTATATAAAATAGAGAGTATCGTTCAATAAAATTATTTATGCATATATTTTAACGTAAAATCTTGTTTTATTAAGAGATTGACTAAGGGAGAGTTTTTGAAGAAAAGACTCATGACCTCCATCTTTGGTCCATAGGTAACACTATTGGTTTTCGAAACGATTTCAGATGCGGAAGCGTGTGAGTAGTGGATCTTGTACAATAAAAATTTTCATAAAACTTTTGAGATACTCTATAGATTATATTAATTTATGCACGAATAAATTAATCACATTAATATATTTACCAAGAACCGGATTAGGAATTATACCTAACAATCGATTAGGATGATAACTTGTGTTCGTTGACTTCGAACGTTCCTCGCTCCAATGCTAGTTTAGAACACCCGAATCTTTCTCGTCAATTCTTTGGATCTACAAAGACGTGTGTGTGGACACACCTGAAACAAAACGGAATTAGCAAGAACACTCAAGATTTTCACGAACACCAACACATGCACGACGTATAATTTTTTGTGAAAATTTTCCTTCTTCCTCACTCTATAAATTCGGCTAGTATAGCTTTTAGAGAGAAAAAAAATTGTTTCTCATAATTTTCTATAATCTCTTATTTTATAGAGTAACACTTAGACTCCTAGAAGGAGCCTTATCTTTATCTCCAAGATAAAACTTGTTAATTATCTCCCACTTCAAATTTGATTTTGAAACAAAACCCACTCTCCCTTACCCAATATGGCTGGCCACCACTAAAGGATTTCCTTCCTGTGGTAGACACAATTTTACAGATAAAGATTAGGGAAAAATTTTATCCTGCAGTCTAATTTTTAACTTAAATTTAAATTTCAATTGAAGTCAAACTTAAATAAATTTAAATTTCAAATTGAACAACTTATCAAATAAGTTAATTGGATAACTATGAAGAGCATGTTGGGAATAGTGTCCTAGAAGCATGAGATGTAATAGGATATTTATTATTTAATTAATAAAAGAGTTTATTCATCATTTTATGTGCATATATTTATGAATATTTTATGAATATCAAATGAAAATTCCGTGATTGTTTATGTAACCTTAAACATAGTATATAAGTGTTATATTCGAGAGGATAATGTTTAAGGATAATAATCAAAAACATTGTTCATGATGAAATTAATTAAAGTTCGGAATCTTTAATTAAAACATTATTAATACATGTCATTCCCATTTAGAATGGAACGGTGTTATCCGCACTGTTAATATGGCGAGATATTGAATGAGTGTATTTCGCATAATAAGATTATGTGGAACAAGGACAAAGACACAATATGAATTTCTAATAATTTCCGTTAAGCATAGAAATTCTAATTGAGTCTACTGATGGTCATATATAGGATGATCTTAATCCTGAGTTTTTAACAAACTCTTATTTATGGATTTATGTCTTTTGATTTACTCGGTACGGATTCTGAGACCCTGAATCCTATTCCTTGTATTTTGGAGACATAATGAAATAGGTAGCTGGGAATGTTATT